AAGAACTGAGATGGTCACTGCAGTCTAGTGAGAGGCATGAACTGTGGGTTCAGAATACTTTCGTTGTCACTTATAGGCAGATTCCATCCTGGCTGTATCTTGACAATCCTCGAGTGACAATATTAACACACTGAGTTGGATGTTTTCAAAATTTGAGCCACTTTTCTATTTTTAGCTCACCTGTTACTGAACTCAAATTTACTGTATCCAAGGACAGACACAGAAGTCCCGAATGATGATGAGGAAGTGGTCTTGGAAGATTTTTTTTTTTTTGTCATTTTGAGACAGTGTCTCCCGATAGCTCCAGCTGGCCTTGCACTTGCTCTGTAGACCAGGCTGGCCTCGATCTCACAGATATCCACCTGCCTCTGCCTCCCAAGTGCTGGGACTAAAGGCGCCACCATGCCCAGCCTTCACCAGAAGTTTTTACAATCACTTCAAAGGTTCATTTGACATGGCCTACACCAAACTGTATTAACAGATGCCTGTACTTCCCAATTATGAGATTTATGACAATCTGGCCTGTGACTGAGATGTTAGTGATAGCTCTGGTATCAGTAAAGAGAGTCACTATTCTCATGAGGCAGGGGTACCAGGAATATTTGTCAGGCAGCCTTGGTAGTTTGGATATTTTTTTGAGTTAGGGTCTCTCTGTAGCTCCAGCTGGCCTGGAACTCACTATATAGACCTATGTAGGCCAGGCTGGCCTCAGTCTCACAGAGATCCCCCTGCCTCTGCCTCCTAAATGCTACCTAGGATTAAAGTTACACACCACCATGCCTGACAAGACTAGGTAATTTTGGAGAGGAGTAAACAGTGTGTCTTCCTATAACTAAGAATGTACAGATTCCTAACTTGCTGATAAATTCTGTGATGAAGACTGAAGTGTCTAGACCTGTAAGTTTGATGCTGGTGGTGATTGTGGGCCAGAACACTTTCATGAGTTGTACAACGTAACTCATCTCACAAAGGAGATTCATTATGTTATTCCAAAAGGTGAGCACTTGCGTTATTTCACCTCTACACAAGCAGCCAAAAGAGGAATCAAAGATGCCTACAGTGGCAATCTCACAATTCAACATGCTTCTTCTGTCTCCTTATAAAGTACAGTGAAATGGATGCAACACAATATATTTCTTTTCACATTTCAAAGCACAGGTGATAAAGAGTTCAAAATCCAGATAACAGCAGATGTGGACACAAGGGTAGCACCATACATGAATTCTACAACCAAAAAAATCATATAAAAATTAGTTAGCCCTTTATCACTTCTTCCAAAGGCCAAAATCCTTTTTCAGGATGTTCTCAGAGAAAAACACTTCCAAAAGGTCAAAAGGCATACTGTTAACATGACAGAAAGAATCCAAGAGGAGGTAAAACTCCCCTTGGTAAATGTTTTACTCCTTCCAAAAGTGGCATATTTGAGTCTCAGCAACTTGAACTTGAAACTGGAACATGGAGAAATCACTCTGAAGGGTTACAGTCTATGCAAATCAGGCTTGTTAAAATCATTTCTGTTAAACTTACAAGATATCAAAGTTAAAAATTAATCATGCTTAAATGACAGATATATGACAATTTGGAGTCTCCACCAGACAAACCAGAAAACCCAGGCAACTTTGGATCTTCTTAAAGATTAGAGAGGCCAACATTCCTATCAGAAACAGTAAAAGTGAGTGGTCACTACCAAGATCAGAATCCACTCCTAGTCTTGGAGACCCAAGGAAGATTGAAATTTCTGACTCAACTCACTGTGTGGTAGGTAGAAATGTATCCAAAGAAAAGCTGTTGTTTCTGATTATCCCACCTGAAAGCTATGTGGAAAAAGTAAAGCTCATAGCAGAAGGAGAGGAGAGAAAGAGCATGGAGGGCAAGGCAGTACCTGGAAGAAGTTTGCAGCACCACACAGTGAATTACTGAGCTTTTTTGAGGGAAAAAAAGTATTCCTTTTTTTAAAGAAAAGTCTTATTATGCAGCCCTGGTTAACCTGGAACTTCCAATATAGACCAATCTGGTCTGGAACTCACAGAGATCTCCCTGCCTCTGCCTGCTGAGTACTGAGATTGAAGGCTTGTAGCACCACGCCAGCCTCTGTGATCTTCTTGAAGAAGAATCACTGAAGTCACAATTGGCACACTTTACTGACTGCAAAAATATTGGGAGGCAACTAAGAGATAACGTTTTCAGATTCACTTCCATATGTAAATAAAATTCTACATAGCAAGCTTGGATTTGTAGCTCAGAAAGTCCTTATGCATGTGCCTCACACAACTGAATTGTCATTCAAGAACAGCAAGACATGTGCCCTGTAGAATTTGAAAGGATGTCATCTCACAAAGTGCACCATCCTGAGGACATGCAGTTTCCTTTCTCTTATTTCTATTACCTCATGAGTGCAGTTCAACTACTGAATGTATCTCAATGTATCTTGATGATATTGAGACCAACCACCAGGCATGGTGGCACATGCCTTTAATCCCAGCACTCCAGAGGCATAGCCTGGTGGAGCTCTGTGAGTTCAAGGGCAGCCTGGTGTACATAGGGAGTTTCAGGCCAGCTGGAGCTACAGGGAGACCCTGTCTCACGAAGACAAAATAAAAAAGAAAGAAAGAAATTGATATCAAGCAAGCTGGTACACTGAAAATCTGAACACCGGCTAACCAAAAGTCACGCCTTGCCTTTACATTTACAGCATTTGACAAGTCTGGAACACAGGTTAATAAATCACTCAAAAATGTTCCTGCTGGTATCTCTCAACTAAATAATACTCCATGGGATCTAGAAACATACAAAGATTCTAATTTTCCACCAGTCTCTAAATCCCTAGTAGTCAACTACAAGCCGATAACTGACAAAATACACAAAACATGTAAGAACATGAACAGCCATAGGTTTGAAATCATGAAAGAAGTAGCAGCTGCTTTCAAAATTATCAGTACTAAAGCTGGCAAGATGGCTCAGCAGGTAAAGCACTTGCCACGAAAATCTGATCACCTGAGTTTCATCCTCAGAACTCATGTAAAGGTGGAAGGAGAGAACCTATTCCATGAAGTTGTCCTCTGATTCCCACATACATGTGCTATGGTACATGCATGACCACACATACACACACACACACTAATAATAATAAATAAATGTTTAAAAATAGATTGGTACTGCAAGGGACTAAATCCCTGGTAGCAAACAGAGTTACTCAGGAATAATAAAAATGGCATGCTTACTGCTTTTTCTTAGCCCGGCAGGAAGGACTTATTTATTTTACTTTAGTTTTCTGTGTATGAGTGTATTGCCTGCATGTATGCAAATGCACATCCCCCCCCCGCCCCTGTGTCATGCAGTGTTTGCGGAGGACGCAAGAGGGCATCAGATCCCCTGGAACTGGAGTTATGGGCAGCTGTGGGTGCTGAATTCAAACCCAGGACTTCTGCAAGAGCAGTCAGTGCTTTTAACAGCTGAGCCCTCTCTCCAGCCCGGGAAGGAGTTATTTTTAACTGAGTCATATAGCCCTGGACAGAGCTCAGCTTGGAGCTGTGACCTATTAGCCTTTTCTTCTTTGTTTCAGTTGACCACTGCATAATTAGGGGAGGGGAAACCACTAAAACCCTTAAAACCCAGGGCCTCTCTGAGAGACTTTGGATTTTATGTTTTCAAATTCCTCTCTGTATTTGTGGAGAATTTTATTTCTGTGTGAATATATGTATAGATGCATGATTCTTTTTTATACATGTGTACTTTTTATTTATTTATTGTTAACCAAAATATAATTTTTATTATTTTAATGTATTTTATGTACTTCAGAATATATTTTTATTGAATTGCTGTGGCTTTCATACAACACATCTTAATCATATTTAGTCACCCCTTTTCTGTCTTCTCCCATCCCCATTTGCATGATTCTTTATCTTTCAGAAAAAGTATGTTTGCTTTTTGCTCTCTGCTGTTCTGAGATTTTTCCTGCCTTTTAACTTTTTAATTGATTGAGAAAACAAACCCAACCCCTAGATGGAGACCAACCTTACCCCTAGACTGACATTATGCCCAGTGTTTCTCATGTGGCTGGCCAATTGAATGACATAAGAAAATCCTAGGTTTATTTACCTGATTGACAACATTGATCACAATCATAAAGATGTCCAGATGGTGAAGGCTCTTCTCAGGGACTTCCACGAATCTGCCTTCCCCACATGCTCCCAATGCATCTGTCAAGAGAACATCAGAACCCCTTCCTTCATGTGCATGAGCTGGAAGAATGGAAGACATATTGAGAGAAATTGAAGTTTCCTTTACCTTTTGTGTGCTACAGACATTGATTATATTTACTCTATTCTCATTTTTTTGGGTGAACTGTTAATTGCTCTTAAGTAGAAGACAATTCCCAGGAGTAAGATACACAAAGAAGTTAGTCCCAATCAAATTAGGATATAGGAGATCATTTGGAAATCCTCCACTTGAAGATCTTAAGGGGGGGACTGGAGAGATGGCTCAGGGCTTAACAGTGTGGGTTGTTCTTGCAGAGGACCCAAGTTCAGTTCCCAGCTCCCACATGGCAGCTAACAACCCATTATAACTCCAGGTTCAGGGGACCTGATGTCCTCTTCTCCGCAGGCATTGCATGTATGTGATGCACTTAACATACATGCAGGCAATACAGTCATACATATAAAATGGGGTAATGGAATACATGAGATAAGAATATCAGAAATTGAGGAGGGGGCTAAGTGGGGAAATATGAATCACTGGAGAGGGCAATTGTGGAAAGGAATGAAAAGCAAAACAGAATACAACGGCACATATGTATGGAGACACCATAATGAAACTCATTATTTTGTATGTTAACCTTGCTGGCCAGCCAGTCCAGCTTAATTGGTGGGTTCCCAATTCAGTGAGAGACCCTCTCTCAAAAAGACAAGGTAGATGCAGCAGCATCCATAGTGACACGAGACATGGCAGCAGCAGGTTCGGAGACAAAGGTCAGGCTCAGGGCAAGTGCATGGGGTGGAGTCAGTGTGCTCTCACAAGCTGGAATCAAAGCCTCTTAACATGGCAGATGATTTGGACTTTGAGACAGGAGATGCAGGAGCCTCAGTCACCATCCCAATACAGTGCTCAGCATCACTCACAATGACTTTTGTGGTGCTCAAAGGCGGGCCATGTAAGATCATCAAGATTTCTACTTTGAATACTGGCAGGCATGGCCATGGCAAGGTCCAAATAGTTGGTATTGCCATTTTTACCTGGAAAAAATATGAAAACATCTGTCCGTCAACTCATAATGTGGATGTCATCCACATCAAAAGGAATGACTGACTTCCAGCTGATTGGTATCCAGGATGGGTACCTATCACTGCTCTAGGACAGTGGAAAGGTGTTAGAGGACCTTCATTTGCCTGAAGGAGGCCTTGGCAAGGTGACTGAGCAGAAGTATTACTGTAAAAAGATCCTGATCACGGTGTGGCCTGCCACAACAGAGGAGGCAACTGTTGTAATCAAAGACATGGCAAAACTACTGGCTCCCAGGTTTGCAGTGGTGGCAGTTGTGGGCCTTGACCTGCAGAGGCCCCTCCCCACTTCCTGGCTCTGCTTTAGCAAGGCCTTTGGCTGGACCCCTATAAATTTTTTAAATCATTTGTTTAATAACCACAAAATTAGAAGAAGCATTTCATTACAACAGCATTGGCATATTCAATAACAATCTCCAGAGGTAAGATGCATCTCTTTCAAAATTGGCGGTAAATTTTTGGGTTTACAGTAGAATTAATACAGTTATACAATATTGTACTCAGTATAAACCCTATAAGACATAAAACTGAATGAGGTTTTAACCTTTAAAAAAAGATCTCTATTTCATTACCAAAATACACTGTTTCATATAGAAAAACTCATTTTTAATGCAACTAACACTTAGATGTTTGCACATGCATCACTAATCTCTATATATCTGATTATTACTAGTCACAGTCGGTTACTTTCTGAGATCCTTGGCACCTGAGCATGGATATAAAGTCATCAGGTAGATTTCAATGGTAATGTTTTTCACATCTCGTAATTAACATGAAGCAAATTTTTATGCTTCTTCCTTAAATATAACTCATTTTTAAATTTATTAATGTGTGTGTATTTCATACAGAATATCCCAAACAATCTTATTCATCTATATACCCACATCCCAAGTGGCGCCCTCCCATCACACACACACACACACACACACACACACACACACACACGCTGGAGCCCATATACTCTGTCATCCCTGTTATTGACCACTGCGTTGTCAGTGCCCCCAGCCGTTCCCCAGTGCAAGTCCATCCGCTGAGTCTAGTCAGCCTATCTAGAGTTCCTTGTTTTAGGAAGATCTGCTCTTCCTCATCTATCAGTAAGCTGTTGCCAGTACTCCTTCAGATAAGATTGGGGTCTGCTGTTCATTTTCCCAGTTCTATGTTGGGTTACTGTCTGGGAGTCTCTTGGGCCACCCTGGCCAACAACTCAAAGGAAGGTATCTCCTACCTGGGCTTTCTTTAGTCCAGAGGTTTTGTATTACTGTTTCAATCTCCTTATGTGTTATGGGTCTGTTTAAGCTCTTGATCTCTTCTTGGTTTGGTTTTGGTGGTGCCCATGCTTTTAGATACCCATCCATTTCTTTTAGGTTTTCAAATTTGGTAGCGTATGGGTTTTTAAAGTATTTCCCTATAATGGTCTGGATCTTTTTGGTGTCTGTTGTGAGGTTTCCCCTTTCATCTCCAATTTTGTTGATTTGGAGGTGCTCTTTCTTTCTTTTGATAACCTGGGCTAGGAGTGTGTCAATCTTGTTTATCTTTTCAAAGAACCAGTTCTTGGATTCGTTGATTCTTTGTATTGTTTTCTTTGTTTGTATTTCATCAATTTCTGCTCTGATTTTTTTTTCAGTCTTTTTGAGACAGGGTTTCCCTGTAGCCCCGGCTGGCCTGGAACTCACTATGTAGACCAGGCTGGCCTCGAACTCACAGAGATCTGTCTGCCTTTGCCTCCCAAGTCAGCTCTGATTTTTGTTATTTCTTCTTGTACGCTGGGTTTGGGTTTAATTTATTGTTGCTTTTCAAGTGTCCTGAGTTGCAATGTTAAGTCATTTATTTGTGTTCTTTCTGATTTTTTAATGAATGCACTTAGAGCTATAAGTTTCCCTCTAACGACTGCTTTCAACATGTCCCAGAGATTTTGTTGTGTTGTATTGTCCTTTTCATTTAGTTCCAGGAATACTTTTATTTCTTTCTTAATTTCTCCTTTGACCACTTCATCATTCAGGAGTGTGTTGTTTAATCTCCATGTGCTTGTGTGGTTACTGGGGTTTCTTCCGGTGTTGATTTTAAGCATTATTGCATTGTGGTCTGATACAATGCATTGAATTATTTCTATCTTTTTGTATTTTTTGAGGCTTGTTTTGTGCCACAGTATATGGTTGATTTTGGAGAAAGTTCCATGGGGCGCTGAATAGAAAGTATATTCTTTGGTGCTTGGGTGGAATATTTGGTAGATGTCTGTTAAGCCCATTTGATGTATGGTATTGTTTAATTCAGTTTGTCTCTCTGTTAATTCTCTATCCTGTTGACCTATCTAATGGAGACAATGTCCTCAACTATTAATGAGTTGGGATTAATCTTGGTCTTAATGTCCTGTAGTACTGTTTTTATGAAGTTGGGTGCACCAGAGTTTGGTGAATATATATTCGTGATTGTAATATCTTCTTGGTCAATTGTTCCTTTGATCAGAATGAAGTGGCCTTCTTTATCTCTTCTGATTAGTTTTAGTTTGAAGTCTATTTTGTCAGATATTAAAATCGCAACACCTGCTTTTTTCTTAGTACCATTCGCTTGGTATATTTTTTCCATCATTTCACCTTAAGGTAGTGCCTGAAAGTGAGATTAGTTTCTTGCAGACAACAAAAAGATGGGTTTTGTTTTAGACGGGTTTTGTTTCTTAATCCATTCAACTAGTCTGTGTCTTTTGATTGGGGAGTTCAGTCCATTGATAAAGTTATTAATGAAAGATGTGTACTGCTTCATGTCATTTTTATTTTTGTTCCCATTCTTGGTGTAGCTGTGCATTTCCACAGTTATACCTTCATTAAGTTTCTTTCTATAATCCCTTGGGTATAGTCGTTCCTTTCTTTAGCTCTTTGTATTGCTTGAAGAACTCTCTGAAGGGCTGGTTTTGTGGACATGACTTCTTTCAGCCTATTTATGTCATGGAAAATTTTCCTTTCCCCTTTGACTATAATAGACATTTTGGCTGGGTAAAGTAATCTGGGTTGGCATCTGTGGTCATTTAGAACTGTGAATGCTTTGGTCCAGGCTCTTCTGGCTTTCATAGTTTGCACTGAATCATCAGCTGTAATCCTGATGGGTTTTCCTTTATCTGTGACTTGTTTTCTTTTGCAGCTTTCAGTATTGTCTCTTTGTTCTGTATGTTTAGTGTTTTTGCTATGATATGCCATGGAGAGTTTATTTTCTGGTCCTGTCTTTTTGGTGTTCTATATGCTTCTTGTATTTGTGTGGGCATGACTTTCTTTAATTTGGGGAAATTTTGTTCTACGATTCTGTTGAAGATCTGGTCCATACCATTATCCTGAGATTCTTCTCCTTCCTGTATGCCTATGATTTGTAAGTTTGGTCTTTTTATGGTGTCACACAATTCCTGCATATTCCATTCTTGTGTTTTCTTAAATTTTTCATAATCTTTGCTTGAGTGATCTAATTCATCCACTTTGTCTTCCAGTCTTGATATTCTGTTTTCCATTTCTTTCATCCTATTTGGTCATGCTTTCTCCTGTCGTTTCTAATTGACTTACTGGGTGTTTCACTTCTTTCTTTATTTCAGCCTGATTATTCTTCAATATGTCTAACTCTTTCCTGAATTCATTCAGCAGTTTATCCCTATCTTATTTCAGTTCTTGATTTCTTTGTTTTGTGGTCTTTAAATTCACTGAATTCTTTTACCATGTTTATAATTGTTCTTTTGAGTTCCATGTCCTGCATTATCTCTAGAGTATTCTCATTGTACTCCTCTACAGGACTATTGGTACTTGGTGGAGATATTATTATTTGGGTTTTTCATGTTATTAATTTTTTGCTGTGAGTTTGAAATGTGGATTTCTTTTGTAGTTTCTGATTCTTGTGTGAGACTCAAGTCTTTCTTTGTTGAGTTTAGGTCTGCTTCTTTTTGTAAACTTGTTTGCCTTTGTGGTTTACTTGTTGGGCATGAAATGGTGTTTGGTCTAGCCTTAAGGTTCTCTCTTTTGATTTTATATTGGAGGGGCCAAATTAATCTCGTCTTCCTGCTCAGGAGTTCCCACAGAGGCCCAAGTCAAATGAGGATCAGATGCCCTCAGGCTTTCTCCTAAGGACTGGATCCCTCCAGGAAAGCTGCTGGCCCCAGGAAGCTGGGGAGCTGGGCCGCCCAGAGATGCAAAAGGAGGTGGGGATGGAAAGAGGCCTCTGGGACTAGAGGGAGGAATTGGGTTGGTCTGGATACAAAGGATCATGAAGCAGTGGGGAGTCTGGGCCAAGAGGTCAGTCCAGAGGTCTGGGGTGCCAAGAAAAGGAATGTGCCAGTGCCCCTGCTAGGAGAAGAGATGAGGGGGAGCTGGGAGGGTGAATGAGGCTGGGGGAGTCAAGGTGCAGCGAGTGCCACCAAACCTGCCCAGGAAAGCTTCTGGCCCCAGGAATGGACCCCTATACATTTTATTTGACATTTTATTTTGGTTTTCCTAACGCTGTCAAACTTTTAGGGAGATCCTGCCCTTCACCTAGCTCCCTTGGCCAGGAATGAGGGAGCCATGGCCTTGGTGGGGCTACCTGCCTCTTTGCTCACACTGCAGCCCTGGTCGGGGAAAGGCCAGAGGTTGCTGCTTGTGCTCTAGGTTTTTGTGTGTTGTTTTATTCATCTTGGAATTGGAAAACTGTGGATTCTGACAAATGGTCCTTGTGCCCTTTATCCCACTTGTTTCTGGTCTGGTCCCCTGTTCTTCATAACACTTTACCCACAAGCCCAACTTGTACAGACTGAACACCAGCCCCCTTGCTGTCTGTGTCTCTTCCAAAACCTCTTTAGGGGTGATTCGAAGAGGAGAGGGGAGGGCATGTTCCTTCCTCAGGCATCTGGGAGGATCCTGCACCCATGGGCTTCACCTTTCCTGTGAAGCTCTCTCCCGGACACATTTGTTAAAATCAAACTTGCATAAAACTACAAGTTCAGTATAAAAAAATAAGAGAGCAATAGAGGAAGATACCTGATATAAATCTCTGGTCTACAGACACACACACATGCATGCACACCCACATGTACACATGCATACATACACAGACACATATATACACATGAACCACACACACAGAGCTATTATAAGGATTTGATGTGCCAATTAGCCAGCTTGGCTTGAAGAAGGGAAACCATGCTCTTCTGTGGCTTAAATGTAGTACACTGGCCAGGAACTGTCTAACCAATACAATAAAAATTTGTGTGTTGAAGAGCCCTGAACTCATCTT